ATGCCTTTGAAGCTTTGGAGGACGACAACGATTCACCAGAATACATTTACATAGTGATTAATAAGTTTATATTGTTTGTGTCTTGAAGTTGCGTTTGCACTATCATTAGTAGCTCATGCTTAGAACATGAGTCCAAGCGAATGATCAACCAAGACGATGATACCTGTGGGTTTAACCCCAACTTTGATGACAGTGGTAGAATTCGTGATCGAGAGTGCACGACGAGAGCCAGACCAACGAGCCAGGTAAATGGTGACCTGCGTAAGATTTCGGAAGGAGACAAGTATAGCATGTATGGTGGGTTGCAGAGCCATGTTACGGCAAGAACATGGCTGATGTTCAGGCCATTAAGCCGTAGAGCTTCAGTCTTTTGACGTGAAAACACTAGATTTGATTTTCATACAGCATTTCATCACAGGATTCGATATTAGGCACCCCATTCGCGCATTCTTTGGAGACAGAAAGGCAGAGCCGTCTAGTTAACGAGGCCTATTCATAACGTCTTGTTGAGAACAATTTTGAAACCACAAATCAAGGATGCTTTCAAATCGGCTCTCTGCCTTGAACGACTCACGGAAATGCTCAGTGATATATACACGGAGGCGTTTCGGGAGCGCCTGGATTACGATGAATGCGCTCCTCCAACTGAGCCTTTGCAGTCATTATGAGCAGCAGCAGCGGCGTTTGGTCATGAGAAACCAACCAGAGCATTGCAAATCAAAAACACAACATCGACGCACGTTGCTTAGAATTGACATACAATGCCTGTGCCTCGCTTCCCTCTGAATGTGCGACTGACACACACCCGTAATCGAAGTTGTTGACACACCATGCAACTGGATCTCAGAATCCCCAACAATCTTCCAACCCTAGAATGTATTATTCAACTTCTTCCAACTCTAAAATAATGCAGCAACGCTGGAGACGTCTCGAAAAGATACAATTCACTCAACCCGACCTGGGCCCTTCGCTCACCATGTGGGTTCCCGTGCTCCACCACCACAACTCCCTCCCGCTATGATCGTCTCCACGTCCCCTCGTCGTCACCAACCAAGACTTCAAGCTGGGTTTCCAATCGCCCGGCTAGCTCAATCGGTAGAGCGTGAGACTCTTAATCTCAAGGTTGTGGGTTCGACCCCCACGTCGGGCTCAATTCCCGTCCGCGATTGACCAGTAATTATCTTTTTGCTGTTTCTTCTTTTCTTGCTGTTTCAATAGGAATGGCTTGCTCCTGTAGCGACGTATTCACGGCAACGGCTTCGTTACACTTGGTTTTGTTGACTCTGTAGAAAATGCGTTGAGTGAACGTCTAGTTCGAGAATCTTTTCTCATGAGATGGGTAATTTAATAGGTCTGAGATCGGTCATCTGGCTAGACGGGTGACTAGAGCTCTCGCAACGCTGGCAATCAATTTGATCTTGAGTTGTCAGCTAGAAATATGTGACCAAATGATTCATGCCAATGTCTTGAATGACATGGCTCACAGAGCCCTTTGTAAAGGCCTTGAAGTCATCAACATAATTGGCACGGACATACCACAGAGTCAATAACGCTCTGTCTTATCTTGACCATGAGCTACCTTTATAACTCATTCGAAAATCTCTTACGAAACGAGACCTAGCTGTGGTAGTGACAACACCCATTCCAGCCTGACTTCACCACCAAGGCGTGCTAATTCTTGCACTTGTATCCAGAAATAATTGGACGGGAGTTAAGCTCCGCGAGAACTTTAGGTCAACGACAAGTCCTGTTGTGACCTCTTTTGGATTGCGTCCAGATCAAGCTGGGCTCTGGTGATTATGGCACCCCCAGGCAAGACTCTATCGGAGACGCTTCACTGCGAGAAAGAGGGCTGAAAGTGTCAGGATGAGTAAGAGGACGTTGGCCGAACTCCAGGTTTTGGGAGCTCGCTGCAAGAGTGCTTCAATATCATGGGTGTTCCGGGATCGAGATCATGGAGAAGTAAGCCGACACAAAGGGACATCACTTCGACCTCGCACGGTTAGACTCTCACAGCTGATGGAAGCGGAATCTCATCATATCCCTCCCCTTAAATACTGCCATTAGGATACACGCTGGCCTAGACAAGCTAGCCTGGTTGGCTTTGGAAAACACGGTGACGTGGGGAGATAGGTTTATGAATAGAAACCAAATTTACTTGACCTGTTAAAACGACGTGTCGCCTTAGCATGGCACCAGAGCCCATCGGCTACCTCGCAATGCCAGGTAGGCTACAATCTTGGCCATCTTTGATGCTCTGGGCATTTTCATCTCCAGGGAGCTAGGACCGAGTCCGTTGCTGATACCGCGCTTGCCTTGACACAGCATCAGATAGTTGATAGGCTTCATTAACAAAACGAAAGAGAACCACATATACTTAGGATCATTGACACCAAAGCCAGTACATAGTGTGCTGCTTGGTGTTGATGATTTTCGGCGGCACACCATGAAGCGAATGAAGATGTATGATTAAAACCTGGCGAATGCTACTCGTAGACCTGAAAGGTCTGAGGACTCGCGTGCCCATATCTTTGCTTGTAGAAGAGACTGTTGAGCCTAGTATTCGAGTGGTTTCTGAAAAGGGTGCGCTTCAGAATGGTGGTCTTCATATGCATGGTGAAATTCCCTCGCGGGGTCGTGATCACTTGTTGGTAAATCCATAATTACGACACTCAAGTATTTTCAACTGCTCAATCTACGAGATTCTTCGCCATCGGGCGTCATAAGATCATGCCTTCGCAACAAACTTGGCCGAGCATCCAACTAGTGTCAACTCAACCACGGTACGTATGGAGCTGAGTGAAGTATCCTCATACGAAGCCCATACCATACAAGCGACTTGAATGAGAAAACCATCTCCCGAGGGGCTGGTCTTCGTCAGCTGTGACCTTTTGGCTTCGTTGAATGTAGTCAGAACCAAAGGCCCATTAGTCGACGGACCAAACTTTACCATCCTCAAAACCACACAACGGCACCGTCTTGACGTTGATAAAGACTTTTATTGTATTTTACTCATTGATCTCACTAAGAACACCGTTTCACGCCCCAATCATATCCAGAATATCAGTAAACCTCCAGTCTTTCCTACAAATTGCGACGTTGAAGGACTTGATATGCAATCCTCCATCACAAGCTGTGCTGACAAAGCTCATCTGAAGTCGAGATGCGGCAGCATCATGATTAGCATCTGACTCGGCCAGTGCGATTGCATGAATGTTCCCGCCCACCCCCTTGAAGGAATGCAAGAATGCGATAGGCAAGCTGCACTCAAATAACCCGCACATACTCTGAGCTGGCAGCTACCTTCTGTCAAGCTTGGACCATCACAACATACATGAAGACGTCCATGACATGCACTAGCGGTTGGCTGGATGGTGTATATTGATGGATCTTAAGACGATTTACTAGTCACGGCGGTGTCGAACCTGTTTGCTCTCTTCATTTTTTTCGCTGGGGCTAGCGGGAGGCCTCGGTATCGCCATGTCCTGTCGGGCATCAAGGGCATCTCGGAAAGCCTCACGGACATCATCAGACGAAGGGTATCCTGGAGAAGGTGGAGTTGCGGATTGACGAACCTGACGATGCAACGCCAAGTCATCTCAATCCAGTTTTCCGGTCGGCAGACGAAGTAACTTGGCAACCTCAATGTTGTTTGAATCGGCGATTGGAGCAAAGTTTTTCAGGATCAATATCAACACCACCAGAGACATAACGAGGCGAACAAAACAACAGAAGACACCCACTTGGCGCCGTCCTAGTCAATGGACCGTGACGTCATGGTCTTGAGTCTCGAAGACATCGGTCGGTTCTGAGGCCCTCAGCCGCAGCCACATTGTGGCTTGAATCTTCACGTCGCAGCGGCTCGGACACGTGGTTTGAAGCGCGGGTTGGTTTGAAGGGGTCAACTGTGGCTCACCATTCACTCATTCCAGCCGCCGTGCTCGACCAAACTCCCTCTCTTCCGTACCCCGGAGGAGGTCCTGAAACTGCCCAAATGCATCACAATACCGACCATATCCAGCGAATTTCATGCGGCCAAGCGGTTGCTAGACGCCGGTTCCACGTCGGTGGTAATCTGCTGCGCTCAGAACTCTCAATGCTTACCCGGGCGCATGAATGATGCTCGTTTCTAGCAGGGAACGCCTGTCCACGCCTTTTGTCGCCAACACACCCATCGCACATGCCTGAAGATTTGCTCCCAGAGACTTGACCCAATGGCAAAGCCGTCGTGGCATAACATCAGACGCAGCAGCAGCGAAACCCTGGGAATGAAGCCCCGAATACCCTCTCCCGAGGCAAGGAGGATGCTGTCGATATTTGACAGCTGTCACCAGGTTGCCCGGAGACAAGGCGAATTCGCGCTGGAGGCACCGGATTGTCCCCTCGATGGCGGTGCTATTCGACGATGGGCGAAATGACAGAGTCTGCAGCCTTGACTCAATCGCGGCCCCCTCGCGTCCCTGGCAACATCACCATTTGTATATGGATGTCATGCGTTGCGAAGGGGTAGGAGGGTCCACCGCGGCTTCGTGGATCCAACATCGGATGAGAGGGAGCCGCGGCTCGCTCCAATCACGGAACGAGCGGTGCACTGGCAACTCTGGCACAAAGGAGCTTTCCTCTCATCATCGGTGTTCGGCCGGCGGGGCATGGGGCGTACAAGCGTGGCCTGGTCATGTCCTGGACGGGGACTGCATGATCGGTGGGAGGGATATCACACACGACCGGGCTTTCCTGACCGTCCCTGGGCTAGAACTTGACGGCTGTTACTCCGGAGCAGCGAGGATGGTATATATCGTAAACCGACGGCCACCCCGCAGCCGACGTGTGTGTTTCGAACGTTTAGTCAACGTCTGTGAAAAGTCAATCAGCAAAATACTACACGATACCTGCCATTTCCGAGACTTGGGACCTCTCACAATCCCACGCTCGATTGATCACATCTCCTCAATCCGCACCCTAATCTCCGTTGAGAGCATTGACTCTCCGATACCCATCCGATGACTGCCAAAACGGACGTTGCCACGCTCGTGGCGCAGATGAATGAGGCCCTTGCTTCGATCCACGCGACGATCGAGGGCCTCTCGAACTCTGCCGCCGAGAGCGACACGAAACTCGATGAACTCGAGAAGAAGCGTGATAACACGATCGCAGAGCTCCAGGCCGCATACGAAAAGGAGCAAGCGGAGCTCGCGGCGGCACGGCAAAAAGAGCTGGAAGAAATCGCCGAACAGCGGCGGAAAGAAGACGAGGAACGCGAGGCCCGTCGTCGAAGAGAAGATGAGGAATTGGCCGCCCGCAAGGCCAAAGAAGACGAGGAGAAATTGCACACCTTTGATACCACTACGCATAATGTCGAAGACGAGATGGATGGCCTCATGGATGACATTGAAGACGCGACCGCCAAGGTGATAGCCGAGGGAGAAGCCAAGCTGGCAGAGCTCGAGAAGAAGAGAGCAGTAAGTCGGAGTGTGGGCTCGGTCGTGCGATGGGGTCTGACTTTACCAACAGGAACTCAACCGCTTGATCGAAGAGCAGATGAAGGCGTCGGTGCCTCCTGTACCGACCCGCAAGAGAGCGCGAACGGTGCGCAGAGGAGGAGGAACAATATCCGGTCAGCCGTCTCCCCTGCCAAAGGAGGAGACGGCAGAGAAAGCAGCCGAGAGCCCGGCCGAGAGCGCACCATCCGCGCCGCCCGCCGAAGGAACTCCCGCCGCCGAAGACAAAGATACCCAAGAAGGTGACGACTCCCAGCCACCAAACGAAGAACCAGTGGCTGAAAAGAGCTTGGAGGCGGTGAGCACGGAGGAGGCTCAATCTAGCGAAGACACACCCGCGACGGAGGTGGCTGCTCCCGAGGCTCAGGAGAGCTGCAAAGACGACTCCGTCCCGGAGCAGCCCGAGGAGGCTGCCGCGCCGGAAGAGGCTAGCGAGCCCGCCCCTACGGGGGATACCAAGGAAGATATCGCTCCCGAACCTCCCGCGGCCGAGGAGACCCAAGAAGCCCCTGCTGAGGCGGAGAGCACGTCTCCGGTTGAGGTCAGGGGCCTGGCGGTGGAAGAGTCCGAGACCGCACCGGCCGAAGAAGCTGTCCCAGCTGAAGCACCCATGGAAGAGACTGCACTCGCGGAACAAGCTCCTTCGGAAGAGCCGGCGCAGGAGGTCGCTGGAGATGCAGACGCTCCGTCGACGGATGAGACGAGAGAGATTTCGGTCGAGGAGACTTCTGCGCCCCAAGACACGCCTATGGCCGAAGAAGCCCCCGAAGTCGATGACACGGCGAAGGAGATTCCAACCGAGGCACCTGAAGCGGAAGACACCCCTGCCGCCGACAAGGGCCTCGTAGATGAAGCCCCAAATGAAGAGCCTGCGCAGGAGAGTGCCCCCGCAGCCGAGGAGAGTCCCGAAGTAGAGGCAAGTCCCTCAGATGAGCCAGTGGAGGAGGAGAAGCCTGCAGACGACACCGAGCCAAGCGCCGAGAAAGAGGATGATGATACCCCAAAGAATGAAGAGGCGCAGGCTGCGGATGATGCCGTCGATGATGGGGCACAGGAGAGAGCCATTCCTGAGATCTCTACCAAGGCTGTCGTTGACGAGTCGACCGCGGACGACGGCCCAAGTACGGAACCGGTCGAGAACGAGGAGGAACATTCAAAGCCCTCCGAGGAGACGGAAGAAACAGTGGAGATCTCGGCCGAGAGCCAAGAGGTTCCAGAGGTCAGCTCCAAGGCTGTCGCAGAAGACGAGATCGTTCAAGATGAGACACCGGCACATGATGAGCCTGCCCAACCGGAAGTCGCCGCGGGGCAAGACGATCTTCCCGCACAAGACGATGACCCATCACCGGAAGAGGCTGAAGTCACCGATGCCCCTGCACAGGATGAGGCTGAGAACGACAGTGGCTCTAAGGAAGATCTTTCGAAGGAGGAAGTTGTCTCTGCCCATGACAAGTCTGCCGAAGTGCCGGCTGAGGTACCTACCGAGGAAATTTCTGTACCAGAGACCACCCCGGCCGAGGATGACAGCCTTCCCACGGACGAGGTCACCGCCGAAAGTCACGCAGAAGAGCCAACAGAGGACAAGCCTGAACCAGCGGATGATGAGTCACCAGAGACCGAACAAGCACAGCAAAGTACCGATGACGCTGTCCCAGAGCCTGAGCAGGTGCCGACAAGCGACTTGGCCGTGGAGACCCTCGAGGATCAGGATAAGCCTGACGATGCTATCGAAGCCTCTACCGCAGATCAACAGCCTGCCGACGATGCCGCAGTCGAAGTAGAAGAGACTCGACACTTGGAAGATAGTCAAAGCGGCGCCGTCGTCGCAGATAACGCCGATGGCAAAGCCTCTGATGAAGCTCACGCTTCTGATGAACCCCCAGCCCCAGTCGATCTCGCCCAAGAAGAGTCGCAATCCAAGGATGAGGACCACCAAGACCAAGCAGCAGATAACCAAATCGTTGAGCCCTCCCATCCCGAGGCGAACGTTGAGCAACAAGACACTCTCGGCGCAGATGACAATGTCCAGGCTCAAGATGCCTCTCAAGAAGTTCAAGCGGAAGTCAGTGACCAACCCCCGACAACCCAGGAGGAGGAAGAGCACCTACCAACCACTGCCAGCAAAGATCTTGAAGATGCAGATTCCCAAGAGCGGGACGCTATGCATTCGGACGGAGAGGAACACACTCGTGGTGTCCTTGACGCAGACGATTCCGCTCATGGACCTTCTGACACCGCCGCCGACGCCAGTACTGTGACAGAGCCCGCCGAAGTCTCTGAAACCCTCGAGGTTGATCAAACTGAGGCGCTGAAGGAGACGGAGGATGTTGCCGAGTCCCATGAACCAGAGAGTGCCGTTGGGCAAGAAGTTCAAGACACTGCTGAGGCTGAGAAGGCTTCTGCTGCGGAGAGCGAAGAGCCGGCACAATCATCGGAGCCTCAAGTCGATGATGAGCATGCGGAGTCTGTTTCAGCTTTGCATGTGGACGAGGACAATGCCGAATCACCATCGGCGCCCGCCGAGGACGGTAAGCATAACCAAGGCGACGCTGAGGTTATCGAGCGCTCCGCATCTCCCGAAGTTGGCGAAGTCGAGGAAGGCAAGGATTCCGAAGACGTCGTTCCTCCGCAAGAGGCGGAAAGCGCGGCTGATCGGGACCTTGAGGATACACCTGCGGTTGAAAATGACGAGCCTTCTCAACCTGCTGAGCCTGAGGCTGCGCATGTTGAAACCGTGTCAGACCAGCCAGTCGTCGACAAGGATGATGAGCCATCGTCGCCTCGGCAAGAAGACAGCTCCGTTCATGTCCAGAACGTGGCCGAGGAAGAGACTAAGTTTCCCGAAATCTCTTCAGCGGATGGAGACGAGGAGCTTGAGGAGGCAAAGGCGGCCGAGGACCATTCTGAAACTCAGGAGCCGGAGACGATCGCAGCTGGGCCAACACCAACCGTCGAGGACACGAGTCTGCCAGCGGATTATGAGCTGGCCCAGGACCGGGAGGCTGATGTCGAGAGCGAGAAGGTCGATGATCTTCCGTCTATGGACACCGCAGAGGCAGCCCCAGTTTCGCACGCTGAACTCGACGATGCTGTCGAGGAAGCGAAGGCACTTGACAACATTCGGGAGCCCCATGACACAGAGGAGGCGACACCTGAAGTTTCCGCGATCGACAGCGATGTGCCAGCTCAGGCCACTGAGGTTGTTGACCGTGAGGATGTCGAGGCGGCGTCTGCACAGCTTGAGAGCCACGAACCAGTGCAAGCACCCGGGTCCGAAGTTGAGACCAAGGAAGTCGAGCATGCACTCTCCGAGGCCGAAAGTGATCACGAGGACAAGAAAGAGATTATTGGTGCTCCTGTGGAAGAGGACAAGCTTGCTCAAGCTGACGACTTGGCCGACGCCGATAAGGACATTTCTTCGAGTCCTGATGACCACGAAGAGGCTGTTACCGCCGACGATTCTGTCGCACCGCTTACCCACCACGACTCCAGCGATCATCCTGAGACCGCCTTCGAGGAGGCACCGATGTCAAGGTCTTTGGATAGCGCCCCTGTCGAAGTATCACTTGCGACAAAGGCGGTCCACGAGGATGTTCCAACCGTCGAGCTTCATCAACATGACGTTGACGCTGAGCTCGAAGAGGCGCACTCATCAGAGGCCGTCGACCAGACGGAGGTTGGACATGACCAGGACTCTTCGCTTGCCGAGACGAGTTTCCCTGCCGAGGAGCCTTCGCATGTCGAGGAGCATCTTCAGCCCAGAGAAGCATCGGCACATATTGGTCACGACGAGGAACATGGCGCAGACTCCCCGACTGCGGTAGTGCAAGATGAGCTCGTCCACAAGGAGGAAGAAGCCGAGCGTGATGAGGGCGACAAGCCCGTCATGGTCGAGGACCAAGAGGAAGCCCACAGACCTGGAACGCCAATTGTCGAAGATGTCCACCAGCCCAGCTTTGATGAGGACAAGCACGACCACGACGACGGCATGGCGCGCGGTCTTGATGCTGGAGCTCAAGTCACCCGACGCAGCGTGGAGCTTGGCGAGGCCGAGGATGACCACCCTGCCAGCTTCGACGATTCCCAAGAACTCGGCGAAAAGCACGATCTCTCAGTCATCACTGAGCACACTGAGCCTGCCGCCTCGACAGCTGGTGATACGTCTGGCTTAGCCGCGTCGTACTACCACCCTGATACTTTGAGCCGCAACGTCTCCGAAGCGCCAGATGTCGCTGCTGAGAGCTCATACATGACCGAGACCACCAGCATGGCTGCCGCTGCGGACCGGGATCACGATCAAGAGTATCATGGAGACTTCGAGCCGGCTGGTGCCCATGACCATGGCGACGCCAGCTTTTCTTCTTCCACGAAGCAAGTTCACTTTGACGATCACGTCGACAGCGTGGACTACGACGATGACCACTCGTCACCGGTTCTCAGTGTCCGCGAGGAGGACAGCGATGCGGAAGAGACTTACGTCAATCCCTTTGCTAGACCGACGCAGCAGGCGGCATACAACCCCTTCGCTCAGCAAACGGCGACAGAAACATCGGAGGCATCGAACAACCCTTTCGCCAGGAATACCACCACAGCTGCGGACTTCTTACGCTCGGTCAGCCCTCAAGGTCAGCGCTCGACATCACCAGCGGCTGAGCACTTCCTGCGTTCTGCGAGTTCCTTTGGATCTCATCCTGACGAGCAAGCACGAGAGTCGTCAATTACCAACCCGTTTGCCAGGAGCACTACTCCCACAGGTCGAAGCTCGTCGGGCAGCCCCCTAGCCCAACGTTCACCCGGGAATCCCTTTGCCCGTAGCACAACTCCGGGCAGTGACTTTGGCCACGATGCAGATGTGACGGGACACGAGTCCACGTTCGAAGATCCGTTTGCTGCCGCTGCGCCGCCTGTCGAGGGTCGCCAGCCCACCCCTCAGGTCCCAGAGTCATACAACCCCTTTGCTAGGAGCCCTGCATCCGACCGCAGTTTCCTTCCCACCGTAAGCACCCTCGGCGCTTCTCCCGTAGACACCAACCCGTTTGCGGCAGCCAGAAGCAGAGGGAGAAGTGGCACCGTGGGAAGCATGGGAAGCATGGGCAGCGGAGCCGATGACACGAGTTTCGGCCAAGCCGTTCCGTCTATTGTTGGCCAAGAGTACCCGGTAGGCCCCATGATAGACTCAGATGAGGAGGGTGAAGATCCCTTCAGCCTCGGCTCAGTAGGTCAGAGCAGCAGCCCGTTGGCAGCAAGACTCGCAGTGACGCCGTTGGATACTATTCAGGAGCGCTACAACAGCGAATTGGAAGACATGGACTCCGATTCCGAAGAGCCTGAGAGTCTCACCGGCTCGCAACAGCTGCCACCTTTGCAACAACGAGTTCCCCCTTCTTTGCCAAGCATCCAGGAGCGTCACGGTCATGGCTTCGAGGACTCCGATGAGGAGGAAGAAGACTACAACTCGAATATGCCTGGTCAGATCAATCCCGCGTTGACATCATCGCAGTACAGAGAAAGCCCACCTCCGCCTCCGCCTCGCGTTCCGAGTTCCCAAGGCTTCTATCAGCAGGAGGCAGCAGACTCTTCTGAAGATGACGGCCACCCATTAGAATTGCACTCTGCCGCCTTTACCCAGCCGGCCCCCCTCTCATCTTCGTTGCACAGAGCGACTCCCCCTCCCCCTCCCCCTCCGCGCGGCTCCAGCTCACAAGGTCACTACGGACGACAACTTGACGACTCTTCGGAAGAGGAACAGAACGATTGGGACAACGACTTTACTCCTGCCCAGCCCACAGCTATTTCGGCATCGCAATTCGGAACCGCCCCCCCGCCCCCGCCGCCTCCCCGTGCCCCCAGTTCCCTGTCACAGAGCAGACTTCACGTGGAGGACTCAGACGAGGAAGATCAAGGTGTCTTACCCTCTCAAGATTCACAGCCCTTCGCGATGGCGTCTTCAGGTTACAGGGCTACACCCCCTCCTCCCCCGGCGCCTCGTGCGCCCAGTTCACAAGGCTTCCATCATCAAGAGCAAGCGGACTCAAGTGAGGACGAAATCCCCAACATCGCTCGACCTGGTCAGTTCCCCATTTCATCAACATCTCAGTTCAGGGCCACCCCGCCCCCGCCCCCGCCTCCGCGAGCCCCAGTCTCGCAGGGTCTCCATGGCCAGGATCTCTTGGATACCAGTGACGAAGAAGAGGATATGGATGATGCTTGGGAATCGAATGCCACTCGGCCCGGCCAGATGCACAGTCTGTCGACGTCGCAGTACAGAGCGACCCCGCCACCGCCTCCGCCTCCGCGTGCCCCCAGCGCACAGGATCGCTACCGTCAACCACTCGAAGACTCCGACAGTGAAGAGGAGGACTTGAATGCTAATCAGTATGGCCAGACAACGGATGTGACGGTGACACTCAACAACCAGTTGATGGAGAGCGACCCGATGGCAACCAACCCGATGAGCCCAGCAAGCCCCCTGGAACCGAGTCCGATGGCGACGACAAACCTGATGAGGTCAACCAGCCCTCTGGCGACAGTAAGCCCGATGTCAGCAAGCCCGGCAGCCCAACAAAGCCCGACGGAAACACAATTCACGGCGTCGGGACCCAGAAGCAGTCAGGATCTTCCAAGTCATCCAAGAGAAGAAGACGGGGAAGAAAGCGATGATTCATGGGAGAACATCAACCAGCGCGGCGAGGCAGCCCGTCTTGCGGCCGACTCAGCATTCCCCGCGCCCACGCCCCAGCTGCGTGTCGACAACTACGAGCAGCAGTGGGCCAACGCAAGCAACGACCAGATCTCCACGGCATCGACTTACCTCACCCCAGCTGGGCCAGGAGACTTCACGGACACCGATTCGCAGGAGTACGCCACTCCCCTGGCTTCAGCCGGGTTCAGCGCGTCTTCGCAGTACACGCAAGGCGCTCTGGACTCACCGCGGCATCCGGAATCTGCTGACATAAAGGACAGCGCTTATGACCCAGCCTATGCTCAAGCAACATCTGGCGTTCCTCATGGACAAGACAATCCGGCCAGCCACCTCGAAGACTCTGACTCTGACAACGACAGCGACTACATCACCCCTGGGGTCGCGCCTGCCGCTCCCTCATTCTTGACTCAGTTCAACGCTCCTCAACAGCCAGAACCAACTGAACCGGTCTTGGAGCAGGTCATTGACTCGTTCCAGAGCGACGAGGATGATGGGCCGAAGACAGCAGTCATGGCGTCCGACGAGCCCGTCACCCAGTACGCATCTTCACGGTTTGGAGCATCATCATGGCGAGACGAACTTCGATCCCCGTCGCTGTTCGGGGCTTCAAGGCACAGCCGCTCCGACTCTCTGAGGTCAGAGCTCCAAAAGTCCATCCATGAAGGTGCGGAAACTGGGCAGCCCTCTCCGCTACAGACCCAGGCGTACCAGCCCGAGGTTCATGTACAAGAAGTTCACAGCCCGGAGGAGGCTCAGATGTACGGCCAAGCTTTTGGACAGGACCCGTACGCCGCCGCTGCGCAACAAGCTCAAATGTACGGACAAGATCCGTATGCCCAACAACAGTTCCAGCAGTTTGGCCACGTCCAAGATGACGAGGAGCAATACGGGCGGCCACAGTACAGCCCAGACTACCAGCAAACTCAGCACGGGCAATTGTCTTCACTAGAGGCCGAGTTGCAAGAGGCGGACGACTCGTCGGAGGATGAGTTTGAACATGCCACTCCACAGTTGGCACCCCAACAAAGTGAGCAAGCACCGGACGTGAGCCCCCTTGCTTTGCGCCAGGAGTCATCACCAGTTACCCCCTCGCGTGCCACTCCTGCTACACCTGTTCAAGGCACGCCCTCCACGCCGTCTCGTGGTCTTGCCAACAGCAGACACAATCCTGACCGACCACAGACACCGCCTTCCCAGCCGGTCGTGGAGGAGGACTTTGATCCCGATGCATTCGTCCCGCGCGACGTGACCAATGTCCCATGGCACGCTCGAACCGACTCTGTGCCGTACTCCGTACAGAGCCAGAGCACGATTGACTCCATGGCATCATCACCAATTCACTCAGCGCTGCCCGTCGACAAGCACGAACCCGTCATTCGGGACTCGTGGCCAGCCTCTGTGCATAACTTGACGCGTCCACGAAATGATTCTACTCTTACCGATCGGTCATTTGACGACCCTTTCAAGTATGACGGCGGGGGCACCAAGTCACTTCATGGAGCATCGGGCTCCGTCGGATCGACGTCCGATAGCCCTGGACGGGCTTCCGGCACAGGCAGTTCACCCGGAAGTCTTATCAGTAGGATGCGCGGGATCTTCGAAGGCAACCAAGCAAAGCAAGAGCCCGCAAGCCCGGTCCGATCGCGGCCGGTTTCGGGCGTCTTCCACCCAGTCCGACGTGCCAAGCCCGAGGACGAGGACGACGGCCCCGGCTATCAGCGCAAGGCTGGGTTTCTCAACGAACACGAGGACGAGGTTGACGAGCAGAGCGCACTCCTACGAAACTCTGCTGGAGGGCTGGAGGCAAATTGACCACGCTCGGGCGGAGCGGGGCTCAAAGTCATGAGGGTGAAGCGGGACGCGGAGTACGACGATGTGGATGACGACCGCCCGATGCGGAAGTATCGAAAGGATGCGAGCGGCCTCCGGGTGCCGGTCGTCTGGACCGAGGTGCGAGAGCCCGAAGAGCCCTCTGGCGAGAGCGTGTTTCGTCTTGCGTGGTTGTTTGTGGAGGGATGGCGGCAGAAGCTGCAGAAGGCCGGGGACATGATTGAGAAGGCGCGATGGGAATGGGAGATTGATGGCACGACGACGGCCTGTACACATAGTCGGGCGTCGAGTTTGACGTTTGGAGTTGTGATTGCGGACGCCCGCATACGTGTGCCTGAAGAGATGAACAAGAAGAAGAAACAACGGAAGTCGGTGCATTGGGCGTTGGATGGATGAATGATGCTTACGAATAATGGATTATGGACATGAACATGGTCATGATCATGGACATTGGATGAGTAGAAGAGGATCATGAAATAATAATGACTTGCTGTTTTTGGCAAACCTGACTCTTGGATCTTGGATGCTCGTCCCAAACAGGTGCATCAAGGACTTATTGACTGATACCGGAACGCGTCTACTATAATATCTGCTCAAAACAATCCCGGCGCAAGCCAAGGTTGCCATCGGCTCTCGCGGTCGGACCACAGAATTCCCCGCTTCGCCGACAAAGATCGTCAACTCTCTTGCGTTACTCCGAATGGGTACAAAACCCCCCCAACCCCCTTCTCACATGCAATTACCTAAGCCACATCCTCGGCGAAAACAGCTGACACGGGCTACTCCAGGCTTGTCACGACCCTTACTATCGAGTCCCTCGCACATCGCGATAACTTTCGTACTCGCTGCGAGATTATCCAGGGCCCGAAGGATAAGGCAAGTCCAAGTTGAAGCCAAAAAAACTTGATTAGAATGGATGGAGGACACCCTCTTATCATCCTTTTATGAACAACATCCCGGCATACCGATAACGCTCTAGACCCCCTTTGTCTTCTTTACGTTTACCTGATTCAGCAACTGGCAGATTATGTCCCAGCAGCAGCAGCAGCAGCAGCAAAATGAGCCCTCCTCTGCCACTGCCTCTGCTCTGGCGTCGTCACCTCCTGCAGTCCGAACATTCAAGCGGGCTGCGGTGGCATGCAAGGCTTGTAACCTACGCAAAGTGAGGTGCACCGTCACGTTATCCGGCCCACCATGCGCCAACTGCTCTGTGGACGGCATTACGTGCGAGGTCCTGAGTCGTAAACGGCGACGGTAAGTTCCTTCTGTGATTATTACCCTCTTAGAAGACGTACTAATTATCACAGCAACTCGGACCAACTCCCGACACATCCCGGGGGTGGACCCGCTGGTGGTGAGAACCCGTTGATCATCATCCCGCAACGGGGCCAACCCAAGCGCCGTCTTCTTGAGCCGCAAACAGCAGGCCCATATCCCCGGGAAAAGTCTGAAAGCTCGGATAATCGCAATGTTCGTGGGGGCTCGGCGCCGCTTGAGGAGCACCGCCATGCCAATGATGGGCCCGGATCACCAACTCCCCCCGGACTACTAGCGAGGAACAACTCCGTGGGGGACGCATCTGCCCACACCACTCGGCCCTACGATGCCGTGAGAGCTCTGCTTCCCGCCAAAAACCAGCGATCGGCCCCGGATCCGTCCGATGCTACCGAGGACAGCTCCGCTTATGCAGAGACCCTTGAGGGCGGCAAGAACCGAGAGGACGGCTGCGTGCCATTCTACCCCGGTAAGGACGCTTACCCTACCTGGCAGTGATGAGTGCCACGATGCACCTCGCATACCAGCTTGTTTACGTCAGAACTTCTTGTTAACATCAATACTTAGGAGACCAACGTGGTCCGGCGTTCTTGATTGATATCTGTGAACCAAATCGATCCTCAAAGGACAATCATTTCTTGGTACCCATGCCGTCGATCAAAGCCCTCGCCCCAGAAGATGTCAACTATCTACGATCCAAGGGCGCTTTTACGCTGCCTCCAGCTCGCGTTCGCGAGGCCATGATACGGTGCTACTTTCACTATGTTCATCCGTTTGCACCCATACTAGATGCGAACGAGTTCATAACCGAGTATGAGAAAGGACGGAAGAGCCTCTTGTTGCTATGGAGCATGTTCATCGCGGCGGCAAGCGTAAGATATGCCAGGTTTTCTTAGGCTTTAGGACATGGCTAACCTGTGGCTGTAGTTTGTTGATGAAAACCTACTCACCGAGGATTTCTATCCTTCGAGAAGAGCACTCAAGAGAGGCATGTACCAGCGAGCAAAAGTGAGCGTTTCCAATTTGATCCTACTCATCTTCTCTCTAACTTGATACGAGGCCCTTTATGATGCGGACTACGAAAAGGACAAGGTCACACTCATTCAGTCTCTCTTCTTGATGGGACACTGGTATACCAGCACAGACGACCGCGCCGGCCCATGGCATTGGAACGGCATCGCAATCAGCCTCTCTCACACCATCGGCCTTCATCGTCTCAACATGCCATGCCAACAGGCCTCCCAGGGTACGAAGCCATTCTGGAGACGTCTCTGGTGGTCGCTGTACAGCCGTGAGGTATGGCTTTCACTGGGACTCGGTCGACCGATGCGCATCGCCTTTGACGACTTTGACACACCCATGCCAGCAGCCTGCGACGCGGACGTCCTCTCACCCGAGGTCGCGGGGAACCTCGGCCGAAAGTACCTTCCTGGCGAGCTCGGCTTCCTATTCGACATCTGGCTCGAGTTTGTCGGCCTCAGCGCGACGCTTGGCAACATCCTATCGACGAATTACCGGGCAAAGGGCGTGAAGCCGTCGAGAGCTGACATTGAACGGAGCGAGAGCCAGATCCGGGCGTTTCAGACTCGAGTCCCGGAGGCCACGAACCAGAGTCGAGTGGTTGCATCTCACATATACCAGTTCAAACTTTACTTTGAGTAAGTTGCTGACAAGTCTGTAATGTTCTTGGAATGGGAGCTTACAGGCGTTTAGAACATCCATCATTGTCCTTTATCGACCCTTCATCCTAGATACCCCGCGAGAGATCCCGGCCGCTGATCAAGGCAACTGGAGGACCTTTGCATGTCAGAAAACCCGGACTGCCGCGTCCAATGCGAGCGCAGCTGTGAACTCCATGATGGCGGAGGATCTTATCCGTCTGTGCCACACCATCACGTACGTGCCGATCTAGATATTCGTCTGGATTACAACTGACGCAACGAGCAGAGTCATCGCCCTAGTACCGCCAATGCAGATTCACCTCTTCGAATCAACGTCGTCCAAACAAATGGCACGCCAAATGGGCAGACACAACCTCGCCTTGTGCATGGTTGCCATGGACGAGCTGCGCAAGAGCTACATCTCGGCAGAGGCGTCGTACAAACTCTTCGAGACCGCCATCAACAAAGTCGACAATGCGCCGCCTCATCAAGAATATCAACCATCTCCCGCAGCCCCCACGGCGTCAACCACACCTGACGGCACAATGAACAGCAACAGCAACACCTTCGCCGACTGGCCAGACGGTTACGGCCTGGGCAGCGCCAACATTATATCGAACATGTGGAGCCCTTTGCCCGGCGCATATCAAGATGACGCCTCCATATCCGGAACGCAGTAAGTGCCGCGAAACTTTCACGAGAACACGAATCATTGACTTGGCGCAGCACCGATGCATGGCTGGACATTCAGTCGATGGACAGACTGTGGACACTCGACGACTTCAGCCTCCCGTAAAAGGGGCCAGCACCGCACCGCGACGATCGATGAACGAAGTCCGGTCCCGCCATGCCTGTGGGATGAACTTTATTTTCACTGAGCACCTCATTCCAAACCCCCAGGCTCTGCTCTCGGGGTCCTTCCGTGGCCTCTTGGCCCGTCGGCCGGGGTTCTGTCATGGCGCCGATAGATGCCATCTTCTGCGGACCGGTTTTCGGTCGAATCCTATCGAGACCAGATGCAACACAATCATGAACCGGAGGCGCGCCGACGAATATTGAGGTGGCTCAGCGAGGGATTGCTCCGATCCCTGAGCACAGCGACCCACTTGTTGCCGAGGCCGAGGTGCCGAGGCACTTTGGCCGCTTTGGCGCTAGCATATGACGGTCTGCCTTAGCATGGGTGCAAATTGAGTTCAAACTCGTCCGTGAAACATGGACTGCGTATCACTGATGCTCATACTGGTGGAATCTTGATGTAAGATAGTGTAATGATACTTCCAATGAGAGAGCGACGGGGTCTGGAGAATTCTAGCCGATGGGCCCGTACAAGAGTGTTTGCATGTATCTGATGTTTATGTTTGTGCTCAAACCCTAGGACTTGAATATTAGAAAACCTGCCAATTAAGCAAGAAGCTGCCTTTCCACTAAATCGGAATATACCTCAGAAAACCAAAATCACTCATGAATGTCAACAGTTGCTAACACCAATTTTGTTGAACACAGAGAATAGAGACACAAGGGATCGCCTCAAACGCCACCGATATCGCCGTAGCGAGCGTGTAAGCTGAGCGGCTTCAAAGCTTAGCTTTCAGCCCAGGAATCAACTCCTTTGCCCCAGGCTTCCACCACGGCCAGAATGGAAACTCAGATCTATCGATGTCTCCAGCAAACTCCGGCTTTCTCTTCTCCATGAATGACCTCAGACCCTCGACATTGTCCGGTGAGCCCGCTGAAGCAATGAAGGTCCTCGAGTCCAGCAAATGAGTTTCCTCAGGTGTGTCGGGGCAGTAGAGCATCAGGTCTCTCATCATCTTGGTGCTCATGAGAGATGTGTTCTCCGCCATATCAACTGCCGTGCCTACGGCATAATTCAGGGTGGCTTCCGGGGTCGGGAGAATGTTCGAGAACAGGCCGCTGACCATAGGGTCCGACGCAGCATACGTGTTGCCCGTTGCCGTCATGTGCATCGCCCTTGCGAGGCCAACAAGCTTGGGAAGGTAAAAGGCACTGACGGATTCCATGGTGAATCCCCGGCGGGCGAAAGGCATGCTGAGCTTTGCGTCCTTCCATGCCACTCGGATTGTGGCTGACAGGATCGAGGTTAGGCCGAAGCCTGCTGCAGCACCGTTGACGGCCACGATTGTTGGTTTGATGCAGTTTGAAATAGCCAGAGCAACTCTGCCACCTCTTTACACAAGTATCAATAGCTACATTTAGACGTAAGTAATGGGGAACTTACGGATCCTTCCATTCCTTCATTGTCTTTTCGTTCTGCTTGATCTTCAACAGACCCTCTGGCCCACCTGAAAGATCCATCCCAACGCAAAAAGACTTACCCGCGCCGGTAAGCACAATAGCTCGTACACGCGTATCTCTGTTGAGTAGATTAAAGGCCGACTCGAGCTCTATAAGGATATTCTCGTTGACCGCATTGTGTCTTTTGGGCCTGTTGAGAGTGAC